CCATCCATCCACCCATCTAACTACCAACCCAGACACCCAACCACCCAACCACCCATCCATCCATCCATCCATCTAACTACCTACCCAGACACCCAACCACCCAACCACCCATCCACCCACCTAACTACCTACCCAGACACCCAACCACCCAACCACCCATCCATCCATCCATTCATCCACCCATCTAACTACCTACCCAGACACCCAACCACCCATCCATCCATCCATCCACCCATCTAACTACCCAGCCACCCAATCACCCAACCACCCATCCATCCATCCATCCATCCACCCACCTACCTACCCAGCCACCCAACCACTCAACCACCCATCCATCCATCCATCCATTCATCCACCCATCTAACTACCTATCCAGACACCCAACCACCCATCCATCCATCCACCCATCTAACTACCTACCCAGACACCCAACCACCCATCCATCCATCCACCCATCTAACTACCTACCCAGACACCCAACCACCCATCCATCCATCCATCCACCCACCTAACTACCCAGCCACCCAATCACCCAACCACCCATCCATCCATCCATCCACCCACCTACCTACCCAGCCACCCACAGACCCAACCACCCATCCATCCACCCACCTAACTACCTATCCTCCCACCCAACTACCCATCCATTCACCCACCTAACTACCTACATAGCCACCCAACCACCTATCCATCTACCCACTTACCTACCTACCCCTTTCATCCATCCATTTATCCACCCACTCATCTGTCCATCCATCCATACACCCCCTATCCATTCATCCATCCATCCACCCACCTAAGTACCTACCCACCCAGCCATCCAACCACCCATCCAGCCAGCCATCCACCCACCTACTTACCCCTTTCATCCATCCATTTATCCACTCACTCATCTGTCCATCCATCCATACACCCCCATCCATCCATCCATTCATCTACCCACTTACTCATCTGTCCATCCATTTATCCATCAATCTATCCATCCATCCACTCACTGACCAATCTACGCATGCATCCATTCCTCCACCTATCTGCCTATCTATGCAACAACTCAACCATCCATCCATCATCTACCCACCTACCCACGCATCCATCCATCCACCTGCCCACCCATGCATCTATCCATCTGTCCATCTACCTACCCATCCACCCACCCATTTATCCATCAATCCATCCATCCACCCACCCACACATCCATCTGTCCATCTATCTAACCATCCATCCATCCATTTATCCATAAATCCATCCATCCACCCACCTACCTACCTACCCATTCATCTATCCATTTATCCACCTACCCATCCATCCATCCCTCCACCTACCTGCTTATCCAACCATCCACCCACCCATCTATCTACCCATCCACACATCCACTCGTCCATCTATCCCTCCATCCATCCCTCCACCCATCCATCCACTACCCATCCACCCACCTCTCCATCCATCCATCCACTCACCCACCCAACCATTTATCCATATACCCACACATCCATCTATCTATCCATCTATTCAGCCATCCATCCAGCCATCCACCCATATCTCCATCCAGCCATCCACCCATATCTCCATCCAGCCATCCATCTGTGTGTTTCCCTGTCCTTCCATTCACTTGTTTATTATCCATCACTTGCTGGAGTAGCCATTCTGCTTTCCACACATCCAGCTATCCACCCACATATGTGGCCATACAAACACACACACACACATACACAATTGTCCATGCACACAGCTAACCATCAGTCTTTTCATCCATCAGTTCACTTGAACATCCATCCAACTATTCATGCATTCAACCGTCCGTCCACATGACTATTCCTCACTCATCTGACCATCCATCCACCTATGTACCCTTCCATTTGTCCACACACTCAGCTGTCCATCCACATATCCAACTATCCACCCATGTATCTAACAATACATCCATCCACTTGATCAACCAGCCAGTAGTCCAGTCATCCACACATCCAATGTGTCCAACTCACCTGACTACCAATTCAAGCATACAACTATCAATCACTCTCCTAATCATCCTTGTATCCTACCAGCTATTGAGACTCAGACACTGGTCCTATAAAAGCTAACCTTGGTGTCCAGGCTTTTCCAGTATGTCTCAAATGCCAGGTTCAGGTGATAGGCAGCCACAGGGTTCTTGAGCAGGGGTGATATAACTGGGATTGGACACAAGAGACTGAGGCCAAGGAGGATGGGGAGAGGTGGAGGTTGAGTAGACCCAGGCAAAGGAGGTAAGGGGTGGGTCAAAGACTCTTGGGATGTAATGTCATTATCCTCACTGGGTAGATGAGAAAAGAGGCTTGGGGGAAGCAGCACATCTGGGGACATGGCGTGGTCATTCACAGGCCCATGCAGACCCTCATTTCCCTCCAAGTCCAACCACTTGGCTAAATTGCCTGTTCTATGTGACTACTATTACAACTTCACAATGGTCACACAGCACAGAGAGTGGGGAGCTCAGTCAAAAAGGAGATCAGGCTAGGAAGATGAATACATGCTACACACTAGCATGACCATGGTAAGTCATGTCCCTGGGACATCACAGAAGGCCAGGCCTGTGGGCAGTTGTTGCCAGGGCAGCTAGTAGGCTTTCCTGGGATATCTTCCCAGCTGACTTTCCTTCATTTCACATGGCCTGTATAGAGAGTAGGCAGAGCAGAGAAGTAGGACTGGGGATCTGATGGCCTGCTAGGTAAATTCCACATGCCTTCTAAGGAAACTGTGATGTCTTCAGTCACAGACCAGTCCTCAGAAGATCTTATTTCCATAGCAAAGAAGAGACTTCTATGTGAAGCAAGGCTCAAAGAAATAGAACAGCCAGCCCAGAGGCACCATTTTTACCTTTATTCTCCATTTATTACCTACTAAGTGTGAGTTTGATTTGCTTGGTTCTATTTGCAAAGTGAAGCCTTCACCCCAGAGATTGCCAAACTTCCATATTTGATGAAGTTTTGTCTAAAATTTTAACACAGACTTTCTTGCTGTATCTAGGATTGAAAGCCACAAGGGGAAGAGGCAAGGCCAGTGAGGGGCAGGTTCACAAAGTGCTGGTGGTGTCTCAGGCAGAGCAAACAAGCTCAAGCTTGAGGGAGGGAAGAGATGAGGAGCATTGCTTTTAAATATTATTTAAAACATAGGATACTGGCCAAGCTCTGTGGCTTATGCCTGTAATTGCAGCACTCTGGGAGGCTGAGGCAGGTGGATCGCCTGAGCTCAGGAGTTTGAGACCAGCCTGAACAAAAACAAGACCTCATCTCTACTAAAAACAGAAAAATTAGCCAGGCATTGTGGTGGGCGCCTATAGTCCCAGCTACTTGGGAGGCTGAGGCAGGAGGCTCACTTGAGCCCAGGAGTTTGAGGGTGCAGTGAGCTGTGATTGTGCCACTACACTCCAGCCTGAGTGACTAAGTGAGATCCTGTCTCTAATAAATAAAAAAAATAGTTCCTCCTAACCTGCATTGGGAGGAGCAGGGTTCTGGACAGGGGCAGGAAGTTGAGGCACCCTGTGAGGGGCTGCCTAAGCATAGACATGGAGGTAGGGACACTTCTGGACAGAAGGAAGAGCACACAGGTGGAAGAGCCCAGGACTCAGGGCCCCACCTCTGCTCCCCAAAGGCAGGGGTGTGGAAACAGGAGCCACTGTGTTGGGCAGGGGCTTTAGCAGTTTACATTCTGCTGTGGCCTCCTCCCCTGAGCGTCCTGGCTCTCTCACATCCAGGCTCTGTCTTTGAAAGAAGCTGAACTCAGCCTGCTGAGCAAGGAGCTCTCCAGGACCTTCCAGGAGCTGGAGCAGGTGCGGGAGGAGGCCCAGAGCCGGCAGCAGCGAGCTGAGGTGAGCCCCCACACCTCTGGCTACAGGCACAGCCTGGTAGGTGCCAGCAGACCCCACAGGCACACCCCTGCCACCAGTCCCAGCAGCATTTCTCCCTCCATCCCCACCAGCTGGAACCTCAATTTCCCCTGGTCTCTCCAGGTCTCCTGCTGAGGGGCACACTGTCTCAATGGACAGGAAAGCCTAGAGTGAACCAGAGTTCTGTACTGGTTCCTGCCCATATTCCTGAGCACCAGGACTCCACCTGGCCCATTTGTTCCTCAGACTCAGGGTTGGTCAGGGACCAATGAGGGGATGGCCTGATTCTGCCTGGAGCTGCACACAGCCTATTGGCAGCGAGTAGGTTAGGGGTAGAACCCAGAGCTATGACCCCGGCCATACCAGCCCAGCCTTGCCTGCCTGTGTACTTAGCTGTTCACAGAAGAACTCAGCAGGGAATGGTGAGCACAGCCTCTTGAGCCCAACTCCACCCCACCCCACCCCCAGGGAGGCCCCTTCTAAAAGAGAACTAAAGTAGAGGGGCTAGCGCTGAACCCAGGATAACCATCAGCTGGAAAGGACAGCCACAGAGTCTTAAGCAGGGCCAAGAAACCCCCTAGCAAGTAGCCCCCCGCCCCCAAGCTGGTGAGCCACCCCCAGCCGGTGAATGGAGGTCCTCACATGCACAGGGCTGCTGTGGCTGGTCAGCTAGAGTCACCAGGGTCCCCTGCCTCCTCATCCAGAGCTCATGTTTTGGAGGGCTCTGCAGAGGGGACACTGGGGCCTGTGCCACACACCACCGGCAGGGCCAAGCACCCACTGCTGTTGCCAGCAGGGTAGCTACTGACCCCCAGAGCACAAAAGCCTCAGCTCACATGCGAAGTGGTGCCAAGCCCCACATCATAGGGAGGAGGTGGCCCAAAAGCTCAGAAGGGGCCACCATGGGCCCAGAAAGTCTGAGAAGGGCTGTTTGCAGCTGGACTCAGGACTGCTGTCCTCTGCAGCTGGAGGTGGACTGGGCCTGAAAGGACACAGGTGGGCATTAGGCATGGAGGACACCCTTGAGGCACAGGGGACACGGCCCCTCCTAGGGAGCAGGTGGGCCCAGGGGCGAGGCTGGACCCTGCACCTCCACTGCCCAAGGCTCTCTCTGACCACACACAGCTCACTCGCTGGACCCACACCCACCCCTGCCTGTCGTCCTTCCTGGCCATGCCAACTGCAGGGAAGAGCTCCCCACTATAGTACTTGTTTGCTCATTTTTAACCCAGAAGACCCTTTCTGCCCTGGTCCCTGGTGTGTTCCTAGCCCTAAGGACACAAGGTCAGACGTTCCATTGGTGTGGAATGAGTGACTCAGTTTGTCAGTACCAGAATGCTGTCTCACTGCAGGCTTGGGCTGCAAAAATTTCTTTTGTTGCTGACTGCTGGGGAGGTGTGAACAGACCGCCCGGCTGGGGCCTTGAGAGACTGCTGAGTTGCTCTGGTGGCCAGGGGCTGGGGTTTGTGGTGAATCCCCAGGGTTTCGTGCAGCCAGAAGGGTCTTGCAATGAGAAATTGGCTACCAGGGTGTGTGTCTTCAGCTGTTCCTACCTGACACCATGAACCAATTCTCAGTCACCTGAGCAAGGAGCCCGGAGGAACTCCTGATGCCCCAAGAAAGTCTTGCCAAGAACTTCCTGCTCATTCCTGGGAGCCCCCACCCCTGTTCCCTCTCTTCCTGCCCAAGGCCTGGATGGCCTGTCCCTGGGCACAGGCCAGGAGGAGCCTGAGGGGCCCCAGGGACAGAACTTAGCATCAGGATGGAGACTGTACCCCTTCTGCCTCCCAAGCCCTGTCCAGCTGCTCTCTCGGCCCCACCCTGTGGGCAGGGAACCAGGAAAGCCCACAGAGACTTGGCAGCTGACGCCTGCAGCTTGCAGAGGGATCTCCTTGGAGCCAGCACTGGCTTCTGGAGCCTTCTTTTGTGCTGGCCCTGAGTCTGCCCCTGGACTCAGAACCAGACCCACTGGCCAGCTGGGCTCTATGGGGAGCTCATCAGGGTTCTTTTGCCACCTCAGCTCAGAAAATGGAAATCAAAACCAATGAGAGGGTGGCGCCTGTAGCTCAAGCGGCTTAGGCACCAGCCACATATACCAGAGCTGGCGGGTTCGAATCCAGCCCAGGCCTGCCAAACAATGACAACTACAACTAAAAAATAGCCAGGTGTTGTGGTGGTTGCCTGTAGTCCCAGCTACTCGGGAGGCTAGTCCCAGAGAATTGCTTAAGCCCAGGAGTTTGAGGTTACTGTGAGCTGTGACACCACAGCACTCTACCCAGGGCTATAGCTTGAGGCTCTGTCTCAAAAAATATAAATAAATAAAAAAAATAAAACCAATGAGAGGAGCAGGACAGAAATGCCAGCCTAAGAACACCAGTCAGGAGAAGATGTGAAAAAGAGCCACCCCACTGGGTGGGCAGAGGGTCCTCCTAGCAGAGTCACTACTGCCACCAGGACTCCCAGCTGGTGCCTTGTCTCTGAGGCTCACATAGGGTATCCTGCAGCCCAGCCTTGCTAAGCACCCACTGTGGGCAGTGTTGGGCCATGCTAGGAGCCCAGAGCTACAACCCAAGCCTGTCCAGAGAAACAGCAGGACAGTTTCAGAGGGGGCGCAATGATAGCTCCTCTCCCAGGACCAGGAGGCAGAGCCCAGCAGGACCTCCACCTTAGCAGAGCCTCCAGCGCAGGCGGCCACAGAGTTTAACTGGGGGCTCCCAGAGATCAGGACAAGGGTAGCCACAAGGACACCTGTCCCCACTGGAGCACAAAGCCAGGTCCAGAGGGCCCAGGCCCCTCAGCTGCCCACCTGCACTGCCCAGCAGCTTGGTACATCACCCAAGCCCACTTGCCTGGTGCCTTGAGAGGGAGAGTTCCAAACCGTTCCTACTGTGGACACTGAGGTCCGGGAAGCCAAGACCATCCTAGGTCCAGCCAGCCCTGTTGCCCCAGGCTAGGGCCAGAGGGAGCTGGGAAGGTCCTTGCAAGAAGGCTGGTTGGGCCTCCACAGGGCCTCAGCCCAGGGCAAGGAGGTGGCATCTTCTGGCAGAAAAGGAGACACTCGGAGCCCTGCCAGGGGCCAACCCTGGCCAGTCGATGAGCAGACCCTGCAGGGGCCCTGCGGTCAGCAGTCTTCCAGAGAAGAGCATCTTGGATGGTATGGCTGACAGGGGAGCAGATCTGGGTTTAACTAAATGGATATCAGAGCTGCCTGACCCAGGAGGCAGTGTCCCTCTCTGTGTGCGGGCTGAGGGAGTGGCTGCCTCCCAGGCATGTTTGTGACCATGCACAAGTTTAAAGCTATAGGGACAGTAGTGGACATTCCCAATACCTCTGCCTGTCTGGCAGTTTGGGAAATCAAGAGCCAGTTGACCAGCTCCCTCGACCCTGGCCATGCCATGCCTCTTGCTCTCAATTTCTGGACTCCTTGCCCTGACGGGTTTAGGCTCAGGCCACAGGGCTGGGAGCAGGAGCTCTGGAAGAGGCAAATACCCCCAACCTGTGCAGACTGCAGGGGTGCCCCACACTGTGGGGCCACAGGACTTAGGGTGCTCCTCCCAGGCAAGCAAGGTTTGTATGGCCAGTGAGCCTGCAGAGGGCCCCACTCTCCTGTCAAGATAGTGCCGGAGTGCCAGCATCATTCAAGGATGGTGACTCCTGCCCTTTTCCCTTGGTTGGTTTGCTGAAAGATCAACTCATTACGTTAGATTAATAAGAGCAAGGCTTATTTCCAAACACTGTGCTCATGAGGGAACCACAAGAATGATCACCCAGGTCTCAGTGATGGTCAGAGACATTTATAGATGCCTTTTGGAAGGGGGGGGAGGAGACTGTGGAGCACAGGTGCAGCAAATAGTTGCTGGGGCGGGAGGTATAGATGGGGAGAAACAAATTGACTTGTAAATTAACCTGAGGGACAGCTATTAGGTTTTAAATGATTTGGGGCCAGGTGTGTTAGCATGTAAAACAGGAAGTCAGTACCCCCTTTTGCTCCCCAGTCAGGTTACTCAGGTTTTAGGGGAAAGGCCTCGTCCAATGCTTTCTGAATATGAATGGCCTTTAATTCAAAATATTCTTTATCCAGTGGTTCTCAACCTTCCCAATGCCCTGACCCTTTAATACAGTTCCTCACATTGTGATGACCCCCAATCATAAAATTAATTTCATTGCTACTTCATAACTGTAATTTTGCTATTGTTATGAATCGTAATGTAAATATCTGACATGCAGGATGCATTTTCATTGTTACAAAGGGGTCGCGACCCACAGGTTGAGAACCACTGCTTTATACCAAGGAGTCATATTTTGGGGTGAAGTTTCCTTAGTTCCTTCAGGGCCTACTATTGTTTGCCAGGTGACTGTTCCTATTCCCTCATTGCCCATCAGAAAGGGGTCAGTGCCTGAGCCCCCAGCTTGGCCCTTACTGCCCACTGCCCAGGCCTGGTAGCTTGGGGACCCCAGAGGAAAGGCACTAGTGGCTGGACAAGGATCCTCACAGGAGTGCACCTCAGGCCTCTGCCCCACAAAGTCCCCAGCATAAGCACCCCAACTCCAACCCTGCCACAGCAGACTGTGCTTCAGGCCAGCCTCCTTGTGCCACTGTGGGCTCTCTGCTCCCCCTAGGCCACCATCAGCAGCACCACGGAGGAGCTAAAGGTCCTGCAGGCTCAGTTCGAGGCTGCCATCTGCACCCATCAGAGGGAGGCCACGGCTCTGAGCCAGAATCTCCGAGACATGGCGGCCGAGAGAAGCCATGTGGAGAGAGAGGTGAGGACTGCAGGGCTCTGGGCAGGGGAGGGTGGGAGCACCCAGGCCCACTAGGCCAGTGTGGGCACCAGGAGGGGAGGAAAGTGTGGGGTGCCCAAAGGAGGGAGAGGCCCCTGCAGGAGAGGGGGTGCCTGGGCTGGGGAAAGGCAAACAGTAGTAGAGGCCCAGGGCACCTGACACACCAGCCAGAGACCTGGGAGATGGTCAACTCTGCCACCAGCTAGAAGACGCTGACACTTGCTTTTAGTGAAAAGAAAGATCTTCTAAAGTGTTGAATTTGGCTTCGAGGAGAAAGTGGGCTGGACCTGATTCAGAGTCCTGGTTGAGAGGGAGGGGAGCTGCCAAGTGGGCTGTGAGGCTCTGGTGGGGTTGGGGCGGGTCCCAGACATGGTTCTTGCTGGCCTGCTGTGTCCTGGAAGAGTTGCACAGCACACCTGGCCTCCTCCTTGCACCTCTGACGCAGCACCTCTAAGAAGGCCAGATCCACTCAGCCAGTTCAGCCCTCTAGATCCATACACAGCTGAGAAAATGGACTCAGGGAGGCACTTGTGCCCCCAGCAAGGCAGTGGCCCTTGTATGACTCCCACCCAAGGCCTTCCTGAGAGGCAGGTGTGACCTGGGACAGGGGGCTCTACCCTCAGCCCAAAGACCCTCTGTCCAGCAAGTGCTTGGACAAAGCAGAGCTGTGCCAGGCTCCCCCCTACAGCCCGATCAGGTACCCCACTAGGTCTGGGCACCAGGTGGGTGGGGCTGGATTTGGGATAAGGTCAGCAGTAGAAGTGGGAATTTTAGTGGGTTTTCAGGGGTGGCTTAAAAGAGGTTGACACAGCCCCTAGGAGTCAGGACAGTGATGTGGGGTGTGGGACAGTTTTAGGTGAAGCTGAAGAAGCCATGGATAGGCCGGCTGGGCTCCACTGTCAGTCACAGCGGGGTTCTGAGGATATTCACAGGACTTGGGGACGCCTGTGAGTGGTGAGAGCTGGCGGCTATGCAGCTCTGGACTGGAGGTGGAGAGTCAGCTGGAGCCCCAGTGAGGCCCTCAGGAACAAGGAGGCCTCGCACACTCCCTGGGCTGTGTGCCAGACGGGGCGAGCCAGCATTGACCTGCCCGGGCCCTGGCATGAGCTGCCAGCACACACCAGACCCCAGAGGCCAGGTCGGCCAGTGGGGCAGAGTGAAGAGAAGCCTGGGCCCCAGGGCCCCCAGGGCAGGAGAGAGAGGAAGAGAGCATGATTTAACATGACGGGCTGTTTACATTGGCCCCAAAGAGAAAGGTCTCCTTTCAACAGATTTCAAAGTCAGGCCCGGTCAGAGACCACACGGGGAAGCAGAATGAGGTTTCAAGACTAGAGGTGGCAAGGGGACAGGGAGGAGTGGCAGGGGGCGGAGCATAGTGACTGAGGGCGGGGTGGGGCGGCTGGGGGCGGGGCAGAGAAGGAAGGCAGGGGGAGGAGTGTGGTAGCTGGGGGCGAGGGCAGGAAGGTGGTGGGGGAGGCAGGAAGGCGGTTGGGGGGTGGGGGGGAGGCAGGAAGGCAGGGGGCAGGGCGGGGCAGCCAGGGGTGCAGCGGGGGCTGTCGGGGTCTTTTGTTGTGCGGGATGAAGAGGAAGGTACAGCCCTTGTGGGAAGTTTGGGTTCTCCGAATGACCCTAGAAAGGGAGGAGGGGGTCCCCAGAAGGAAGAGGGGAACCTAGAAAGGTAGAGGGATGTACAGAAGGGAGAGGGGAAACTGGAGAGGAAGGGGAGGCAACAGGCGGCTGCAGAGGTGGGAGTGGTGAGGAGTCACCATGAGCGTTGGCAGAGGGAAGCAGGCAGAGCCCCCCCACCCAGCTGCCCAGGGGCGTCAGGAACACATGCAGTTCCAGTCTTTAAAGGCTTCTGCATACACGTTCATGAACATGTGGACACACCACGCACACCTTGACATCACACACACCTATGTATACTATTACACACAAAGTGATAAGTGCACAAGGAGTGCACACACAATGAGTGCACACACATGCACACCCCACACACTTACATGTGCATAGAGTGCTTAGGCATGTAAACATATCTGGGTCCCAAGAAGTGCACATGTGTACACACAAGAATGTGCACCAAACACACACACATCACTCATGCATGTGAACAGGCATTCACACACATGTATGTACACACATGCACACCAAGCACACTCCAGTGTGTCTTGCACATGCACACACACCAGGGGCCAGTCCTCACTGTAGCCCCCTCTCTGCTTTCTCTGTGCTGCCCTCCTCCCTGCAGAGCTCTGGAGCTGCCTCTCTGCAAGAGATTTCAAAAGAGGCTGTTTATACAATTTCTAGTAAAGAAATAATTATTATAATCACATTAAGTGATTTGGCTGTTAAATTCCTGTAAAAGGGATGGTTGTTCTCATGAGGCAGAGGGAGGTGGGTGGGGGGCCCTTGCCCCGTTTGTTTTGCTTGTTTTCATCTCCTCTGCCCTGGGAAATGAAAACAGTTTCTTTTATGACTGATCGGCTGCTTCGCTGGTCCTTGACCTTCTGGGCGGATTTCTGCTGAGCTCAGCGAAAAAAGCTCAGCACAGTTGTGGCTCCCACATGTGGGGGTTGGGGGAGGAGGCTCAGGCCCTTCCCAAAAACAGAACAACAATAACAGTGGGCAGACTTAGGAGCCAGGCCGGCCAGGGGCCTGGACAACATCCCGTGAAAGCAGCCAGCAGAGAGGGGTTTGCTTTTGGCAAACTGGTGACTTGGCGCCGCTGAGCTTTGCGGCTTCCCTCTGGCCCATGCCCCCTCTGGCTCCCCACTCCTCCCTAGGGACACACAAGAGCCAGAATGAAGCCTTCTCCAAGATTTCTGGTCAAGGCCGGAGCACAGGCCTGGGAGGCAGGGACCAGGGCCAGAGTTGTACCCAGCAAGGCCCCCACAGCCTGGGTACTGAGGACTGGATGGCCCTTAGCCCAGGTCTGAGGCCCACGGGCTGCGGCTCTGCTCCAGACAACCCCCTGCATGGCTCTCATGGGTGCTTTGAGATGCCTGGTATCCCAGGGCAGGAAACTGAGAGGGGGATCCCAACCTGGGTGATGGGGAGGGCACATGGCAGGGGCTGGGTGGTCACACTCTGGGCCCAGAGCAGCCTGAGGGGGTAAGGGTCACAACCCGTGACCTCTGTCCTCCATGAGTCAGCTCATAGGGGTACAGGTACAGAGCAGCTTGAGGCCAGCAGTTGGGCTGCAAGGCCAGGGTCTGGGGACACGTGGCTCTGGAGCCTTCCTGCCAGGGGCCTCTCGCTTCCCTCAGGATTGAGAGGCCCACACTTCTGTGGACTGAGCCTTATAGGAGGCTCCTGTGACTGCAGCAGCCCCCTGCCCAAGCAGCTGGACGACCCAGCTTAATGGCCCCTAGTCCTGCAGGAAGATTTCAGGGGGACCCAGAGACCCTCCCTCCCTCTCATAGCAATGGACAAAGGGAGTCCAAGGGTGTGGGCTAGCCCATAGCTGTACTGAGGTCAGTGCCAAGTTGCCTGCTGACATGCTGTCCACACCAGAGCAGGCAGTGGCCCTGGGCCCACACTGTTACCTAAGGAGAGGAGTGGGTGCCAGATAGGAATGGCCAGAAGACAGTGCCCACATGTGGGCAGAACCTTGTCCCAGGCAGGCCCTTCTGACCAGTGGTCAGCATCCCAGGGTCCAGGGAAGGAGTGTAGGCAGAGTCAAGGCAGGGTCTGCCTGGCTCTGGGGCTGACTCTCTGCCCCAGCTCTCTCGAGCTACCCTGCAGCCACTGCGCCAGTGGGGAGAGGTAGTACAGGAGGGGTGGGCGGGTGGGACAAAGTGCTTGGAGACAGGAGACTGGATGGGACCCTGGTGCCTGCCAGACCAAGGTCAGAGGCCACGTGCCCCAGTGGTTGTCCCAGAAGCAACAGGCTCTGTGTCCCCCGCCCCCACCCCCAGATGGCCCCTACAGCTGCCCACCCCTTTCCAGGCCGAGAAGCTGCGGGCACAACTGGATGTGGCCCAGGAAGGGCTGGCCGTGCTGCGCCAGGAGCTGCAGGGTGCCCAGGAGAGCCATGAGGGGCTGCGCAGGGAGGCCCAGGAGGCCCGCCAGGCGTTGGGTGATGAGGCCCGGGAGCAGGACGTGCTGTGGCACTCCAACAGTGAGCTGCGGGCAGCCCTCCGCAGGGCGGAGCAGGAGAAGGCCAGGTATAAGGCAGCCCCAAGGAGCACTGGCGGCCTGCCACTTACCCCACTGGGCCTTGGAGAAGAGGAGCTGAGGAGCAGGGTGGGGGCGTCCTGTGGACAAGGTGGGCTGGGTGGACAGCAGTGGGACAAACAAGCCAAGCATTCCTCCTGCTGCGCAGCCCAGGGCAGCACAGTGCTGGTCTGCAGGGGGCCAGATACACAGACAGACCTGTCCCTGCTGCAGGGAGTTTCTGTCAACAGGCCAGATGGTACCTCTTGAGGGCAGGAGGACTAGGCTGAGAGTAGGGCACTGGGGGAGAACAGCTGGGCTGGACAGCAGCCTGCATGGGGCAGAAAAGACACCAGGCTGGGCTAGGTGTTGGATATCTGAAAGTGTGACTGGGGGGAAGGAGGCAACAAGGTGGACAGCGGCAGGGCCACTTAGGTGCTCAGATTTGGGTGGATGTGTGTCCAAATAGAGCCCTGCAGAGGCTGAGCTTGGGAACTCTGTGGGGACTAAAGGCAGGGCAGGGTCATGCTAGGTGGGCAGAGACCTGCCAGGCAACTGGGACAGCCACCCCAGGAAGGGGCTGGGTCCCTGGCCATGTCCCTGGCCCCAGCCTGGGAACCTCCTCAGTTTTAAGCGGTCCCTGGAGGAAAAGGAGCAGAGGCTGCTTGTTCTGGAAGAGGCCAGTGTGGCCGCGCAGCGAGAGGCTGGGATGCTGAGGGCCAGCCTGCGGGAGCTGGAGCGAGCTCGGGGGAACACCCACCGGGAACTCCAGGAGCGCCGCAGACAGGTAGGGTGGTGGGGAGTTTTAATGCTGCCTGCTGCAGAGACAGGTCCCAGCTCCCCTATACCCTCCCAGGGCACCCCCAGGGCTGCAGTGTGAAAGCCCCAGACCTAGCCTCGGCTGCCTTCAGAACACACTGTCCCCAGACTTAGGGCCTCAGGTGACAAGTCCAAGGAGGGAAAAACGCAAACATTTTCTAGAGAAAGAGGAAAGCAGGCAAGGAGGCCTTGGCCACTACAGCTCCCTAAACGCAATGGCTTACAAGGCTGGGATCCCCTGGAGGCAGCTGTGTTTACTCGCTGCTGTGGGTGATGCCCCAGTTCTCCCTGGGGGCCTGATTTCCTGTCAGTGTACCTGACCTTTTAACTGAGCCCTCCTCCTTGCCCCAGGTCCTCAGTGTCCCACCCCAGAGAGCAGGCACCAGGCATGTGGCTGAGGAAGGTTTAGGAGGACAGTTGTGGTTGAGAGCAGGTACAGGTGTCAGTGGCCCCACCCAGGAGGGAGCTTACCCTGGGCCTCCCTAAGTGTGGCAGTACCACTGAGCGAGGGCAGCAGTGGGTTGGGGGGACTGGCCTGGTCTGGCATAGTGGCCAAGCGACCCCACTGGTGCCATCCACATGTTCCCAGGTGAGGACCCTGGAGACTGAGAACCAGAGGAAGACCCAAGAACTGAACCAGCTGCAGGCCCAGTGTGCCCACGAAGCACAGCGGTGGCAGCAGAGTGCACAGGAGGCCCTGGAGCTGCAGAGATGGGCGGTTGCCACGGAGGCTGCCCTGGAGGGTGCCCGGAAGGAGGTGGGAGGGCACTGCCCACTGGGAAGGGCCAGGAAGGACCTTGGGGGAGGCAGATACACTGGGCTTGGGGAGCAGAGGGAGGTCCAGGCCCGTTTCCTCATGGGCACCTGGGGGTCTTCCTGCTTCCTAACGCAGCCGTATCCCACAGGGCCAGGGGAAGGACTCTCAGTGAATCAGTCCAGCGAAAGACATGACCCCAAGCTCCAGGGTTTCTGTGTTTTAGAAAAGGGCAGAGTTCTAAACCTGGGCAGAGGTGGAGTGACCCCCAGCAGCCAGTCCCCAGACAGCCTCAAGATGCTGAGCTCAACTCCACCCATAAGTGCGCATGGCACACACTCCTACACGTGTGTTTCCCACCCTCCACCTGCTCAACACACCCACTCCTGCATGTCGCCTCCTTGTCCACCTGTGTGCAGCCCCCACACTGCTCCAGAGACACTCTGCTCAATCCCCCACAGCCTGGGTCTCTGCTTGCTCAGGGTCTATGCCACATGTGGCCAGGGGCCTTAGACTCCCCATAGTCCAAAGGGGCCGAGGCTCGGTTCAGACCCAAAGTCGTGCATATAGTGGCACTCATGCAGTGGGGCTCACCTCTCACAGCCTATGGGATACCACCTGACCTCACACCCCCACACCTCTATGGATGGGGTCATTATATTGTGGCCAGCTACCCAATGAGGGAGCTGAGATGTGGCCCTGTACCTCTGCTGCCTGACACACAACTGGGGGGCAGACCCAGAGTCCCTCTGCCTGTGACCTACCTAGTACTTGAGGCAAAGAGACCTAGGGACAAGTCCTAAAAGGGCAGGTGGTTCTGAGGCAGCAGTCAGGGCTCCCTCTCAGCCTGGTCATCCAGGCCCAGCTGACAGGAGCCCCCAATGTCCATCCTACAGATCCTGAGGCTGCGGCAGAAGTTGGCAGAGATGGAGGCCACAGAGGAGGCCCGGGGACAGCGGTTTCAGGAACACGTCAGAGAGAGCCAGGAGGCCCAGCAGACCCTCCAGACTAAACTCCACAGTGTCACAAGGAAGCTGCAGCAGACCAGCAGCATGGCAAATAGCCTCCAGACTCGCCTGGACGGGGCCTGTCACCGGATTCGCAGCCTGGAGCAGGACCTGGCCCGGGCCCAGGGTGCAAGGAGGGATGCAGAGGCCCAGCTGGACCGGATGTGCTCTACGCTCCGCCGTGGCCTGGGGCTTCGGGGACAGAGCCCGTCGGCCTCCCCTGAGCCACCCAGCCCAAAAGGTCAGCGTTCTCAGTGGTGGCAGGAGGGCTCCTGTCCCAACTCTGTCCCTGGCCTAGGGCACCCCAACACCACCAGAGCCCCACTGTGTAGTCAGGGCTGGACCAGTCATAGCAATTTTAGGAGCCTGTGCCATGTCCCCCAAGCTCCCTCGGGCAGAGGCAGCAGAGAGAAAGGGGAAAGCGCTCCCCTGCCGCTAAATTCCCTTCCATACCACCCCAGCAGGCTCTGACAGCTCCTGGGCCCACCCTGGGCGGCAGGGTGCCAGCATCCCCACCAGGCCTCACTCACCTACACCTGGAGACCTTGGACCAAAGGTCATGGACACAGCATCTGTGCGTGACGCCCTGGGGAACCTTGTCCAAAAGCTTTGGGATGCCCAACGGGCCCGGGTAAGGGGGCCTGGGTCTTTCACACTCACCCAGCACTGCCCTGAGGGGCTCTAGAGAACAGGGCTGGATGCATTCACTCTCTCAGACAACTCTCTGCCTATCCACTTGACCTGGATCTGCAGAGATCCTGGCAGGGCCCTGCAGGTCAGTGTCCAGACAGCCCTTATTTGTTGTGATAAATTCCAGTAATACCATTGTTCATTGAAACCCTAGTGCCTGCAGTGGCTAGGCACTGCCCTTCCTTCAGGCCTGGCAACAAAACTCCTGGACCCAGGCCCTGCTGTGACACCCACTGGGGTCTGAGGCAGGGCATTCTTTTTCCCATGGCATGCCCTGAAGAACTGTCCCCAGGGGCAAGGCCACCCTTAGCATGTGTCCAAGGAGCCCTCATATGGGAGCTCTCAACTTGTGCTCCTGGCCCCCAGGGCTTCTCTCAAACTTACCTGTAGGCTGTCCCTCCTGACTCTCCAAGGATAGGGTGACCCAGGGACTCAAGTGGGTAGGGCTGCAGGAAAAATAATCAGCAAGCCCTGTCCCAGGGTCCTCCATGGACACCTGTTCCCTTTGGGCCCCCCTCAGCCCCAGTCCTGGCCAGAGTACCCCAACTCACAGGCTGTGGCTACCATCAGCAGCTTCCCCATGACATCTGTACTGGAAACCTGGACTCTGCCCACTCAGCCCCTGCCTGCTCTAGGCCTATAGGTCAGCTCAGCTGCCCAGCTCTGCCTGAACCCCTGCAGCCCACAGCCACCCTGCCACTGTATGGCCCTCTGACCCCAAGCCAGACTATGAGCTTCCTCCTGATACGTAACCCTCCGATGGACCCTGGCTCCCTGCTTGCCCTCCAGCTGCTCTGATGACCTCCATTCTTCCACCCAGGATGATTACTGTGCCCAGGCAGCCAGCCTGAGCCAACAGCTGAGCAAGGCCAAGAGCCAGTGTGCCCAAGCCCAGAGCTGTGTGGGGCAGCTGCATACGGCCCTGGTCCAGGCAAAAGAAGGTGATTATCCTCCCCACCACACCAGACCCCACAGAAGCAGCTGTGGAGGTCACCACCAACTCTTTGCTGTTTCCCACCATGACCATGTGGTCCTCAGACTGCTCAGGGACGGATCTAGGGCAGCACCCAAAGCAGCGCACCCCTCTGAGTCTGGCCCAGCAGTCGGCACTGGTGGCAGCAATGTCCCCAACACAGGGAAAAATCCAGAGGCCATGAAAGGCCGTGTCTGGACTGGCCTAACCCCTCCTGGTGCACTGGCCTCCTCACTCCCACTCAAGGTCCTTGCCTGGCTGTGCCCCCTGCCTTGTACTGTCTTCCCCAGGCAGGTACTGCTCAGACCCCTTCCCTGCTGTCCCCCCACCATATCTGAGGGTCTGTCCAGAGGGGGTGGGCCCAGGGCATAGCAGTGCATTGGTAGAGGGAGGAAGAAGTTGGGGGAGTAGGACGGGCAGGGGACCTGGAGTCCAGCTGGGAGATGGGGACCCCAGGCCAATCCCAGAACCCTTGAGCTGCCCAACAGAGGAGCCTCTCCCCACCAGCCCACCCAGCCTCAGACTGGCCTGTGGGCTGCAAGGGGTGTGGGAGACCTTTGAGCCACCCTGCTTGCCCCATAGGCTGGTGTCAGGCAGAGAGTGCTCTAAACAGTGCCCGGACATCACGGGCCCTGCAGAAGGAGGCACCCCACAGGCTGAAGACCAAGCACCTGGCTGGTGTGCAGGCAGCTGGCCAGGAGAAGCTGCGGCTCCAGGTAGGACAAGCCGCGGATGGGGACCTGGGACCAGGGACAGGGTTGCTCGGAGGCCCTCATACCCCAGGAGGTGGCCACAGGGCAGAAGGCAGGAGGGAGGGTGTTCTGTGGGTTTCCAGGGGTTCAGAGCAGGAGGCAGAGGGTGAGCTGGGTGGGTCCCTGTGGATAGAGGACAGGCTGGGCTGCGGTGGTGGCCTCGAGATCCTCAGAGTGTGGGCACTGCTGCCTAGGGCTGTCCTGGCAGAGCTGTCTTCACTCGGTCCTAGCCCTCACTTTACAGACTGGGGAGACGGGGGCTTGGCCCTAGTGGCCAAGCCAGCGAGGGGAAGAGCCAAGGCCTCCAGCAGCAGGCACCAAGGGGGCACTGACCTGGCCTTGGGACTCTTTGTGGGGGTCACGTTCTGCTGCTCCAGGACCCATTTCCGTGGCCCTCAGATGCGGGGGGGTGGGGGTTGTGCAGGACAAACTCAGGTAATGTCCCTACGTTCCAGGCTTTGTGAACAGAGGTGGCCTCTGGGTCTGCAGCTCTCTGGTAAGGAGCCTGGGCCTGGAGAAGGGGCAGCCAGGCCTGGGTGGATGGAGGGCCCAGCACAGGCACCCTCACCTCTGCTAGTGGGAAGCTCCATGCAAGCTGGTGGTGGGCTGAGATCCCCTCAAGACTGGGCTGGGGCCAGCTGAGGCATTCCAGAGGACTCCCTTGCAGACCCCAGAAGCCTGACGAATCTGGGTAACCACCCCTAGTGACAAGGAACCAGGGCTCCCCCTAGCCACATTGGAGAAATGGGACTAAGCACAAAGACACAGGAGTAGCACAAACTGTAGGTCTCCTCCCTCCAAGGAGGGAGCCACAGAGGGTCCTGGGGGAAGCAGGCCAGGCCCCACCTCAGGGCCCCACGCAGAAGCCAGGCATGGCCCCCACCCCCACCCCTTGCTGGCTCCTTGTGGCCTGGGAGCCTGGCAGCCCTCAGAGGCCACCATAGGGCTGTCAGCACTCAAGCCAGGCAGTCAAGGGCCTTGGTCCACTGAGCCTCTGAGGAGTTGGCCTCCTGGAGGGGAGAAGGGAGAGGATAGGAGCAGAGGCCAGGCTGCCAAGAAAGCTGCCTCTTTATCTGCCAGGAACAAGTGTTGCTGGCAGGGGGGGTTGTGAGATGAAAGGGAATTTCTCTTCTGGCCATGCCTGCTGGGTAGGAGGCTCAGAGAGGTCCAAAGGCTGCAGGTGGCCTGACCAGAAAAAGTGGCCAGACTTGAGAGATGCCCAGGAGACATGGGGGCCCAAAAGCTGACCTGGCTGGGCTGGGCATACCGTATGCCTCTGAAAACAAAGCTTCCTGTCTGTAGCTCACACGTTTTGAAACAGATCTTTTAGATCAACCTTTAC